CCCCCGTTCCCCCACCAAAAAACAAAAAACTCACCTTGCAGAACTTGAACCCTTCCTGGTTAGTCGTCAGCATCACCCGGTCAACGATGCCGTCCTCGTGCGACCTCATCACCGTGCTCGAGTCCTTCTTGCTCCGGTGCCCCGGCCCGCCGGTGACCCCTGAAACGCCTCCGCCGAGCGGCGTCGTCTTGCCGATGAGCACGTCCGTGCCCGACACTCGGGTGCCGGGGGCGACCAGCCCGTCCTCCTCGAGCTTGTCGTAGTTGCCGTGCTTCATGCCGGCGGTGTTCTCCCTCGCCGGTCGCTCGAAGCTCTCCGCGCTGAGGACTGCCATGTCACCCATGCCTCGTCCAGCCTAATGGGAGGCGGAATTGTGTGGGCGTGTTTTTTGGGTGCCGTCGCAAATGGACGGACACGGTAAGGAAATCGACTACAGTGCGCATAACTGCCTCGCCTTGTCGCAGCGGCAGCGCACGCCCGCCGACATCGTAACACAACCTGAAAACATGTTTCTTGGGTGTCGCAGGGTGTTGCAGCCAAGGTAGTTGGCCTCGACAAGTTGGCCTAGACAGGAACAACCAAACGGAAAAAACAGTCCGGTTTAGGGCATGAATCCTTGAATCATCAACCAACACCTACCTGCATCGTCGCCTTGCACGAAAAATCACACCCCGCATTTGACAATTCAGCCCGACAATCCCATGCTCCTGCTCGTGACCTGTCTCATTCACCTTCTACATTTCTACATGTTCTTGTTGTTGTTGTCTTCACATTAAAACCGTTCCGTTCTCTCTGCCGAGTACCTTCCTCTGTCCGTACTAGTCTAACAATTGACGGGGTCGATTCCCGTGGTCACAGGCACCAGAAAAAGGTAAACAAAAATAAAATGGACCCGAAGGATCCGCAAGCCAAAAAAAAAGTCAACGACAGATGGTCTGGCCACTCCGCTCGCCTCTCTGCGCTCTATGCGAGGTAACCCTAGAATGGGAAAAGATAGAAAAAGTAAAAAGTTGAAAGAAAAAGAAAAAGAAAGAGAAAAGAAAAAGAAAACGAAAAAGAAAAAGAAAAAGAAAGGAAGGGAGCAGATGGAGAGAAGCAAAGGGAAAGAGAAAGACACAGGCAGAGAAAGACACACGCCGTAGCGACAAACAACAAACATGTGCATGTACTATTTGTTCCTGGCGGTGCGCCTCTTCACCACTTCTTTAATATATACTATGAATTAGTCCTTACTATTGTGTTTTTCCTCTTCACCTTCTCCTGGTCGTTCAGGGTCCGGAAGAACGACGATCGGAACAGCCCCCGGTCCACCGCGCTCTGGTTCATGATGAGGGAATCCTCCTGGTTGTAGCCCGAGTAGACCATGATGCCCACGATCACGTTGAACCCCGACGGGAGCTCTCGGAAGTGGAGGTGCTCCATGGCACGCGTCGTCACCAAAGGCTTCTCCGGGTAGTGGAGCACGTGCGCCAGGGTATCCATTCGCAGCTGCGATGGGGATGGGGGGGC